AAGGTAAAGCGCGGGCCGAGTCTTCTTTTCAAAGTCGAGATGATTTTGAAACGGATTACCAACAGCGAGATGATATGATGATGTCCGACGAGCAACTACAACACCTATTGTCCCAAAATGATCCACGCTTTGCACAAGAACAACAATTCCCCACAACCATCGATGAAGAGGAGCTCGAGGATGACGATGCGGAGGAGGACGTGCGGGGCGACGGGACTCACGGCACCCCGGATGATGAGCAAGAGTTGGAGGACGAGGGCCGTTCAACGACTACAACCCAAATTGGTAAGAAATCTAAATCTCCAATTATTGAAAACAATTATACAAAAAGGAAAGACGAAAATACCGAAAAATGGTACGCAAGTTGCAATCATTGCAAGAAAGAGTTTAGCTTGGGAACTTCTGGCGGATACGGGAGTCTCAAAAGGCATCTTCAGTCCGCCCACTTTGTGGAGTATGCGAAAATAGACAAAGGCAAGGGGAATCAAACACAAATATCGAGGTTTCCAAATTCTCAACCCTTTGGTAATTTTTCCTATGACGATAAAAAACATTTGACTGGTATGTCTCATTTAATTGTTGAAGAAAATTTACCCTATATTTTTTTCGAAAGTCTTGCTTTAAGAGATTATGCTCAAGGTACTTTAAATCCTCAATTTAGAAATTATAGTCGCAAAACGATTAAAAAAGAAGTTATAAGGCAATATAACTTGGAAAAAGAAAAATTACAAACATTTTTCGCAAACTTTGATGGACGTGTTAGTATTTGTAGCGATATATGGGAGGATACTTATCATCATTTATATTATTTGGGTCTTACTGCACATTATATTGATGATGATTGGAATATGCATAAACGTGTTCTTGCTTTTTGTGAATTCAATGATCGTCACACTGCTGATAATATTTATATTCTCATTGAACGTATTTTAATTGAGTATAATTTGATTGATAAGGTGTTTGCTGTAGGTTTTGATAATGCTAGTAATAATACTGCTGCTATACCTAGATTACGTGAATTGTGTGGTGCTTCTACATTGATGGGTAGGTTTTTTCATCAACGTTGTGCATGTCATATTCTAAATTTGTGTGTACAAGATGGCTTAGCGGCATTAGGAAATGCTTTGGAGGTAGTGAAGGGGGGAATTAAATTGATTTGGGCTAGCACTCCACTAAAAATGCAATGGCGGCAATATTTGAAGGATAGACGTGTCAATTATTGTGTTTTTCCTAAAGATTTGTCTATTCGTTGGAATAGTACTTAAAATTTAATTCAAGTACTTATTAGATATAAAGATCATTTTCCAGCCTTTTTAAGACAAACTTGTAACTATATTATAAACCCGGCTGACATCGACACTTGTGAAAAAATTGTTAATGTTTTGGCATATTTTAATAACGCAACTCAAACTTTTAGTCATGTTTATAAATCTACCGCAAACGAATTTTTGTTGAAGCTGTTAATCTCGCCGGCGCATTTTGTGAATTTTCCGAAGCCACTTACGTTAGTTATTTTTGTGATTTCATGAAACAAAAGTTTTTAAAATATTATTCACATATTCCGCATATATATGGTATTGCATTTGTTCTTGATCCTCGTTATAAACTTGCTTACTTGGAAAATTGTATAGATTACTATTATGCTTCTTTTTTCCAACTCAAGAGTTCGATGTTAATCCCATCGACCCTAAACAAGAATTCAACGAGGTTAGTAATTTATTTCATCAATTGTATAATGAATTTCATGCACAATATGGTAATGCACCCACTCCCATGCAACGAACATCTTCTTCATCTAAAGGAAAATCATTTTTAAAATCCACTTTTGGTTCTCTTTTGAAAAAAAGTAGAGCAACTCCCGCTACTGAACAAAGCTCAGGTAACGAGCTTTCTTTGTATCTAACACTGAATGTTGATTATGAAGTTGGTGATTACTTTGACGTTCTTAAGTGGTGGAAGGAAAATGAAAAAACGTTCCCGATATTATCAAAGATGGCTAAGCAAGTGCTAGCAATGCCGATATCAACCGTTGCCGTCGAACAAGATTTTAGTGCGGCCGGCAACGTCCTAACCGATTATAGAACGAGGTTGAGCCCGAGCTCTCTTGAGACACTAGTTTGCTTTCACGATTGGTTGAACGCCCAACGAAGAACTCAAGAAATTATCATCGCTCCCACCCGCCACTTTATGGAGGAAACAACCGAAGCCGGAGATTCCGATTGATATTTTATTACAAAATGTATTACATTTTTTAAATTCATCCTAATTCTCAATTGTACTTCTTATTTGAAATAAATATACTTGAATTAGAATATAATATATTGTAATAAGAATTATTCTAATAATATAATATATAATAAAAAACAAATTAAAGGCCCGGCCCGGAGGGCGGCCCGGCCCGTGAACCGGGCGGGTGACCCGAACCGAACCGGACCCGGGGTTATCCGGACCGGTTCCGGGCCTACCTTCCGTGAACCGAGGCCCGGCCGGTTCAAGGTCCTAACCGGCCCCGGCCGGAACCGAATCCACCACTAGGCCCGGCCCACTACTGTGCGGGATCAGAACCGGGCCGGTTCTCGAGTCCGGGTCGGACCTAGGCTCGGTGGGTAGTGTGGGTCCGGGCTTGGGTCTCACATTTGGCGAACTGGCGGGTCGGTTATACATCTTGTTATGTTTGAGTTACATCTTGTAATAAGAGAGTTACATACTTTTATGCGCGAGTTACATGTAATTATGTGTGAGTTATATCTAATTATTTGTGATTTTTTACTTATCTTTATCTTGAACTAATTCAATTATAACAAAATTAATTTTTTTCTTTGCCAATTTAATACAAAAATTTATTACTCCACATAAAATAAGTATATTGTATTTCATATTCGTACACTATTTTTCAAATGATAAAAATGAAAGATGTAGCAGAGGTTTATTTCGTGGTGTAACTCACATACATTAAGATGTAACTCACATATATTAAGATGTAACTCGTGTACAATAAGATGTAACTCGCGCAGAAGAAGATGTAACTTCATGATATATTATCAAATGTAACTTCAAAATAATTTGTTAAAATTACATAAGCAATATTGGTCTCATTTGATAGATCATGAAAAAAAATTGATATAAAATTTATAAAAATCGGATATCAAATAAAAAAGTTATTACAATTTTTAACAATAAAAGAAATAAAAAATAATGGAACTGGGTATAAACTGCGTCGTTTTGCAACCGGGCGCACCATCCTGATGGTGCGCCGATTGCAGGGTATAAACTGCGGTAGTGTAGTATGTAGAAATATCCCATAGAATTATACATGAATTTTATATCTGGCAATCGATGATCAGACCAAATCATATTTAAACAAATCAGGCGAGATCATACTGAAATATTTCAGCATTATTATTAAAAAGAGGGAGAAGGGCCAAAATGGACACTAAGATTTTTAATGAAGCTCGGATATGACATTAAGGTTTTAAGTGGATCAATTAGACACAAGCATATATATCATAATAACAAATCTTTTTCTATCTTTTCGTATGTTGTAACATTAAGTTAATTGTTCTTGTGATTGTTTAAGAGCCCGTTTGGTAACATTGATATTGGCTGAATCGGATGATTCTACTGAAATTCATTAAGTTCTGACTGAAATGGTTGGATTGGTTAATTCTGCTTATTTATGAAAAAATTATATTTAAAATATATTTTATTAATAAAAGGGAAAATAATTTAAATATCCCAAACTTTGAAATGGTGTGAGGTAAGCACCCCAAACTTACATATGTTAGCACATAAAAAAGTTATGTTAGCACCATTACTATGTTTTTTTAATTCAAAAATATATATACCCCGAACTTTACATATCCGTATTTTTACAGATATTTTTTTACACATAATTTTTTACATTAAAAATATAAGCAATTTTAAACTTTGAGCTGGGACCCACAACCCGGACCAGTAGGCTCAAAGCCCAAGTCCATTGTCTCGCCAGGACACCCCGACCAGTGGGCCAGTAACCCAGAGCTCGATCCAGCCCAACTAGTCAAGCTCATCAAGGAGTGGAAGTCCAACGAAGCGGAAGCCTATCTCCAACCCAGCGGGGTGCCTGTCTCAAGCCCAGCGGGGAGCCTACCTTTCAGGCCAGCCAAGCGCTTGCTTCAAGCTCGGTGGGGAGTAGGGGTGGACTCAGGTCCGGGCCGGGTCCAGGTCGGGCCTAGGCCCGAGCGGGCCGGCGGTTCAGGAATGGTGGACCCGGGACCGGCCCAGGTAGCCACCGGGTCCGGGCCGGACCGGGCCGGGCCTCCGGTTTGGATTTTTTTTTTTTTTGCTTTCCTAACCCCCCCCCCCCTCTAACCCCCACCCTCCCAAACCCCCCCAAACCCATCCTACCCATCAAGCCCAACCCGGGTGGAACCCCAAAAATGAAAAAATAAATAACAAAAATTCAATTTGGCCTGGGCCGGTTCACCAAATTTGAGACCCGAGCCCGGACCCGCCCTACCCCCCGGGCCTAGGCCCGACCTGGACCCGGACCCGAGAACCGGGCCGGACCCGAGAACCGGGCCGGTCCCGGTCCCGCAGAGTAGCGGGCCGGGCCGGTCCACGGGCCGGGTGGCCCGACCCGAGTCCAACCATAGTGGGGAGCCTGCCATCCAATCCAACAGGAGGGAGCTCAAGCGTTCAGCCAGGCAGGCAGGCCGACTCACTAGCTAGGAACAGTAACGGTCAAGACAATCAATGCACTATTAATTATGTATTTAATTCTGTATTAATGTTGTAATTAATTAGTCATTATTGTAATTAGTCGTTACCATTTGTATACGCCTATAAAATGCAAGTGCAGTCCAAATGTAAAGCACATTATTTCTGACAACTAATTAAATCTTCTAGCTACTTTCCATTTTCGTTCTTGATTCTTTATTGAGTGTCTATCGTAGCTTTCCTAAAGCCTACAAGCATCCTGTTTTGGACCAACGCTTACTTCAACAGTTAGTGAAGCACAACAACATCTCCCTCTATCACTCATTTCCACTCCACATGCCTGATGAGAATAAATGTGACACCCACCATCCGCCGGATCGATGAGCTGAGGTGGTGGTGTGGCTTCACCGGCCGGCCAGGAAGCATACATAATACTCCGTAAAAGTAATGTGTGACTGAGGTAATTAAGGATGAGGTAGCAGATGCAGCTCTCTCCCGGCCGCAGCATTTCCGGATTGACGTTGCGGAAGCGGGAGTGGGAATAGCTGCTTTGTCCACTATAGATAGGCATGAGCCGCTTCTCATCTTTGAGGGTTGGCATTGTATCTTGATTTTCTCCAAGAATATGTATTACGATTTTTAAGTTTTTTCAAAAATATTACTCTTTATTATTTACTAAAATAAAATTTATTTACACGAATACGACTAATAGTTACTACAATGTAAGTATTTTAGTCTTGAGTCACATTTTTGTAAATGATGTTTGTTTTAATCATACATATATAATTATTTCTATGTATTATGTAGTACTCCATATTTACATAATAAATCTGCCCATTTACGTTTCTTTCAGTTCTTTTCTTATAAGACTTAATGGCTTCATTGTAGGCAGGATTATCTCAATTTCACATTGTTTTGTAAAGTCAAAAATTTTTAGTCAATCAATGTTACAGTAAAATATTTCCTATTGAATTAATTCAATTTTAATAATTAAATTTAAAATCTCTAAAAAGTTCAAACTAAAATTTAAGTAAGAATTGATATATAATGAACTTGTTCAACTCAAAAAAGTCAAATTTGCAACCAATTTGGATTTTGGGACGAAGGGAGTATTCAACTTGTAAACGTGATTTGAGCATTTAATTGAATCAATAAATACTATTTTGATTTACTCAAACGTTTTCGTTCATTACTATCCTGTCAACGTAAAACTCTTAATCTTTTACTTTAATCTTTTGCATTTAATTAAGTATTTGAATATATAAATTTTAATTATTAAAAATAATCTTATATGATCAATCAAACATCATAAATCATGTGAGAACTTTTAAGTGGAACAAAGCGAGTATTATGGATGGTGGACAAAGAAATGACTCAATAATTTTAGTAGATATAGTTGTGTTCAAATTTTAACTTAAGGCAACCACATCATAATAATTTTACAAGACATCAACTCTAAAACCACATCATAATAATTTTAGTCTCATTTTTGTCTGATAGAGTAATTGTTTAGAGAAGTGAGAGCTAGAGAGAAGGGCAATAAATTCTTCAATTAATGATTTTGTCAACCCCTACAACTACTCCCAAAGGGAGTATTTATAGGGAAAATGTGGGCTGAGCTCCCAAGTCTTGGGCTTGGGAGGCTCATCTACAACTGGACAACTACTGGGCCGAATACAAGAAATGACTAAGTATGAAATCTTGTTATGTGAGTTCTCCGTGGCCGACGAGGACGTGGCCGACGGAGGCATGGCCGACGGAGACCCGACCGACGGGGGCACTCGGTTCTCCTGACTTCTGGACCATATTCTGAGTTGATGTCTCCCCGACCGATGGAGGTCATCTGGCCGACAGGGATCCTACTTGGTGACGACTATGCCTTCTGTTCTTCTGAGTATGTGGGTCCTAGGACCTGGACCCATATACTCCATCATTGTCCATAAATTTTCTATTACTAAAAAATTCATAAAATACCTCTAAAATTATAAAGTTCAAGCATTTTAAGTTTAAATTCATTTTATGCACCCTTTTAAATAAAAAGTTCAAACATCTAAGATTTTTACTCAAATCTTTCTTATTTGAGTCGTCTGTTTGATTTGTTTTGTCAGCTATTATGAAAATGTCACTTCATGTTATTTTAGACATGCCCATATCTATATGAAAAAATGTATAAAATATTATCTATGGGGTTTCATTGGATAAATAATACTCCCTCCGTCCCTAAATAAAAGCATCTGTTTCCTTTTCGGGCCGTCCCTAAATAAAAGTTCCCTTTCCTTTTTTGGCAAACAAAACAGTGCAAAACAGTGCCAAACAGTGTCCAAACAGTGCCAAACAGTACCAACCAAACTCACTTTCTTAAGATGTGTGTAAAATGAATGGATACTTTTATATAGGGACGGAGGGAGTAAGAGTTTTTTATGAATATTACTCCCTTCATCCCACTTAAAGGTTAACACACGATTTACAATGTTTGATTGACCATAAAGTTAATTGATCTCTATCAATGGTAATATTATATGTAGTAAATAAACTTACATATTCATAAACGACATTAGAAGTTTTAGTGGCAAAGAATGTCAATTTTCATAAAAGTTTGATATGGAGTACATTAGTATATAAAGTAAAACATTAATAGCAATTTACGTTGATTGGGGAAGAGAATAGTGAACGAGAACTTTAATATGACATGAAGGTAGTACTCTAAATAGAGGCTGAAAACCAGTGTGGTGTACGAGTTGGTTTAAATTATAAAAACTACCATGTTAGTAGGGATGGACTCGGGTCCGGTCCGGGTCCAGGTCGGGCCTAGGCCCGGGCGGGCGGTTCAAGAATAGTGGACCCGGGACCGGCCCGGGTAGCCACCGGGTCCGGTCCGGGCCTCCGGTTTAGAACTTTTTTTTTGCTTTCCTAATCCCCCCCCCTCACCCCCCACCCTCCCAAACCCCCCCAAACCCATCCTACCAATCAAGCCCAACCCGGGTGGAACCCCAAAAATGAAAAAAAAAATAAAAAAAATTCAATTTGGCTCGGGCCCAGGCCCGACCGGTTCACCAAAATTGAGACCCGAGCCCGGACCCACCCTACCCCCGAGCCTAGGCCCGACCCGGACCCGGACCCGAGAACCAGGCCAGACCACGGGCCAGGTGGCCCGACCCGAGTCCAACCATACATGTTAGATGTTGGGATGAATATTCCCAACCAGGTTCGGATGGCAACCAGAAAAACCATTCATAGTACAAAAATTAGGTCGCTCTTGGTCCCAACTCCCATTTATGGTTGGACTCGGGTCGGGCCACCCAGCCCGTGGACCGGCCCGCTACTATGCAGGACCAGGACCGGCCTGGTTCTCGAGTCCGGGTTGGGCCTAGGCCCGGGGGGTAGGGCGAGTCCGGGCTCAGGTCTCGAATTTGGTGAACCGGCCCAGCCGGGTCGGGCCCGGGCCAAATTGATTTTTTTATTTTTTTTTTTCATTTTTGGGGTTCCACCCGGGTTGGGCTTGATGGGTAGGATGGGTTTGGGGGGTTTGGGAGGGTGGGGGTGAGGGGGGTTAGGAAAGCAAAAAAAAACCAAACCGGAGGCCCGGCCCGGACCCGGTGGCTACCCGGGCTGGTCTCAGGTCCACCATTCCTGACCCGGACCCGAGTCCACCCCTACTCCCATTCCAGTTCAGAAGTCAGAACTAAGACTTGCCTAAGCAAGTATTCAGAATAGCCACAAAAAGATAAATGTCAATGTCATTAAAATCAAGGAATCGTCACTTTATAACAGAATAGCCACTTTATATCTTCTTTATTTTAATTTTGGAACATTGGATAATAACTAATATCTTGAATTTTTAACAGCACCTTCTTACAATCCGCACCCTCAGATTTTTAACACCACTTTCTTACAATACACATGCTGGATAATAACTTGTTATTATTATTATATTATATTATATTCATAAATATATAAAGGATTCTGGTATTTATGTGCACCAAGGAGAACAATTCAAAACATATAGTGATGAAAAGGTCGGTTTTATTGGAGATGGTTTTGCCTCTCCTTCAAAGCTGCAATAACCACCCTCTCAGGGAGTTATTCAACCATGTTATTTTCTGAGCGAAAAGAGGCGTCTTAACCTTTTACCAAACAACAGCCGGATTGAAGGAGCCAGAACGGGTAGAGTTGTGACCATTGCAACATAGGCAAGAAGCCAAATCGAAGCCCTGCTCCGCCTTGACAGCTGATTTAAGCATTTCCAAACCGGAAACACCTTTACAGTGTCGTTTTCATTGGGTTCAGCAAACTCGGCAGTGATACTCACATTTGCTTCTTCCGGTGGAATCATTTTGTCATCACACTGTAAAGATAGTTCACCATGCGTGTCATGTTCTTTGATGAAGTGTTCAGTCGGCTGTCCTCCTACATCATTTCTTGGTGGCGGCTCATCAGCAACTGCAGTCACCATTCCATCATCTATCAATCTCACATAAGGAGCTTGATCAATTGAAGATTCAATGAGGTTAGTTGATGTGGTGGCATCTCGTGTGCCTACAAATATCAATTAAACATCAATCACTGTTAATAATATGGCAATATATAGGACAGCTGACAGCATGATAGTATTTAAATGTTAATGGGCCAAACAAGGGCCTCGTTCGGCATATATTTCTTTATTCAAGTTTTATTGATAGGCAAGTAATACGTATAAAGACTTTTTACATTTTTAATTATTTGGATGATGTTTGTCTGTGTATATTTTAAGTATTTGTATAACAAGTAATTTACTGCACACTTTCTACAAAGTGCTAAACGCATCCGCCAATTCTAAATCAAAACCGTCAGGAGCATGCCGCTAATTACCTTATTTTACAACCGTCCTACTGAGATTTTGTATTGTGCCATTTGTGCATACATAAATTGTGTGACATTTTTTTTCTATGGGTTCAGTGAACTAAAAAAGTGTTGAATGTTTCATGGTGGTGTGTCATGGTGAAGTCACATGGTAGCACATAAAAGAAGCCTGAATTTAATGCATGTAGATTTTTTTATGCATTTAGATATTTTTATTTGAATAGATTTGTACATAACAGCTAAAAATATTTATTGAAAATAATAAATATATCAAATGAAAGAACACTATCAGATAGATCTGAGCACCTCTTTCTTTGATAAAAGGACTAGAGTACAAAGCTTCAAAGTATTCATCAACTGCCCTTACCCACCTGTCAATTAGTTTCAATGATACATGAAAATAAGAAGAATGGCTAACCCACTTATGAAGGAAAGAAACCAAGACTTTATGCGATTAGCATTTATTTTGAAGAGCAGCAAATGCTTCATCAGTTTTTTTTTTAAATACTCTTCTAAACCTATTATAGTATCGGCTCTTGTTAATGCCAACATCCTTATTTGGGATGGGACTCTAACCTGCGACCTCCTTTTTGAGAGATCAGCAGTGATGTCATCAGGTACTTGGCAGTTAACTATGTGTGTTTGTGTTATGAACTTATGATGCATTTATTATTTCATATATACAGCAATAAAATACATATGCATATACCATTGGGGATTATACTTCAAATCCAACCCTTGAGTATCAGTCCCTACCTTAAAATTATGACCTGTAGTAGGTCAAAAATGAATTTTAATATTGCATCCTAATTTCTGCCTGATCTGACCCACCTTTTACTCCACATTTTATACGAGTATATAATATTACTTGCATTAGCGTCATAAACGTGTGTGTATTGAAAAAATATATGTCGGTGCATATGTACAAACATTAACTCAGAAACTAATCTAGCTGATTTTAATATTCTAATAATAACAATATTGTAGTGAAAATTAATTGAATGTTGTGATAAGATGGTCAAATGTGGACTATCTGCTTGTTCAAGATTTTAAAAATTGTTAAGGGTCTCTTCAGTCTATGCATATAATAATGATAGAATTACCCACATTGGAACATTCCCCTCACATCTGCTGTTAGCGGGACTCTCATATGCAGGTGTACTGAGGAACAAAAATAGCTAAAACAAAAGCACCCAAATTATAAAATTAAATCTAACAAGTATACTACAGTCAATTTATGTAGGTGTAAACTTACTTGAATCCCTAACATATAACTCTAAAAATAGTTCGGGTAAGTTAAGTTTGAACAAAACTACTACTACGTATTAAGTTTAATATGTATTCTTTCCATCCCATAATTAGCTTATATTTTGCTTTTGGAAAAATCATTTAGAAATCATGTGGTTGAATTGAATAAAAAAGGAAAGACATCAACAATCACACGTGTTTTCCCTTGAAAGTAAATTACACGATAATTTTGGTATGGATGGAAAAGGAAAGTTTTTAGGAATGGACATCGTCATAATTAGTTATATGAAACTATTGCTTATAATCTCATATTGGGTGAGGATGTGTAAAAACTCAAATGGAGGTAAGGTGTGTCAGTTGGTGGATCACCGTAGGACTGTAGGGTGTCATTAGCTATCCAAACCCATTTACATCCCCAAATATATGTAGTAAGACATAAATGAAGAGCCTGATTTATTACTTATTAGTAGTAAGTTTTAGAACAAAATTACACTAGATAATGGGTATGGATGCACAGGTCTAAATTTGCTCAAGTCCTAACCATTCACTAATAAAAATGAAACACCTTGTATGACAGAAATAGAGAGATTATTCGTTGTAGTACTCCCTTCGTCTCATATTTAACTCCGGTTTTGACTGGGCACGTGTTTTAAGATAGTGGGGTTTGTGTGGTGGAGAGTTATGCAGAGGAGAGAGAAATGTGTAAGAATGGTTGTGAACCACATATTGCTTACCAAAAAGGGAAAAAGGAGATAAATTTGGGACGGACCGAAAAGGAAAGTATGAAGATAATTCCGGGACGGAGGGAGTATCTACTATCTGAGAAGGCTATTCACAGGAGGAAGCCATCGCCCGTGTTTCAGAAAGACAAGTAGTCCTACTGTTAGTCAATGGTCTGATGATCATTTCATTTTTGCGAATTCAACTCAAGCCCTGGGGGGTAACCATAAATTACATAAATATATTCATATATGGACCTTATGGTCAATCAAATAAATAGGTCACTGTTAGCTGAAAAGACATCCAGTTTTACAGTTGGAGAACATTTCTTACGATCTTTTATAGTTGGTGGCCATCACTATTCAATTTTCAACATTGCAAATTTGCAATAGTATCACAACTGAACCATTTAAAGTTGGGATTAAATGGCCCTTGCACTAGAGTTTGCAGCTGTTTAACAGATCATATCTGTAAAATTTTATATAGTTGAGGAATGATCACTACCACTAAATAACCAAAAGTTAGTTTTTTATGAAAACTAGTATTCCACTCGTGCGTTGCACGGGATGAAAAGTGCAAATGATATAAAGATTGATAAGGAGTAGAAAGATTGGATTCCTAGAAGTTATAAATTTGTGTTTTTTCTGCCGTTGGTTCACTTGAGTATCTAAACCACTCTGTCATTTGTAATAAAAAATACAACCAGTAAGGCCAACATTTTATACTAAAATATGATGAAAAAGCACCGTGTGCTACTTTTTGTATTACCAATGTTTATCCTACTATCTAAATTTGGACGTGTTTTGACATATGCATCTCCCCTAACTAAAAGTCTCCACAATGTAGTCGTTAAAAAAATTATAGTACTCCATGCTTCGGGTAAAGGTTGGATAGGAAGATTAGATTCCTAGGAGTTTAAACAATTGTGTTTGTGCTCATGTTGATTTACTGTGAAAATCTAAACCACTACTTTGTGAAAATTACCAAAAGTTAGTTTTTTATGAAAATTACACTACATATTTCATTTTGGATCAACAGTTAGAACATAGAACATCGAAGATCATGAGATGGATAACGACAAAGAAAGACAGTCTAAAATTTGAGGGCCAGTAACATGGATACTTGGGACTTTTGCAGCCAGTGGCATATCCACTATGGGGGCAGTGGGGCAGCTGCCCCCTCAACCACAACCCAACTCCTATATATCTAAAATTTTATAGGAAATTGCTCAAAATAAGAGTTAAATAAGGAAAAATTCTAAAATAGAACTAAGAGTGTTTTCTTTCATATTAAAAGAATAAAAGGCTAAAAAATCCACTAAAATTTGGTACGTTTAACTTATATTTAGGTAATTTTCTCACATTTTATCTACAATTGCATCTTTACACACACCGACACACGTAATATAAATTGCTCTTTTTTTATTCATACTTTTACATATATATCTTAAACTAAATTGTGACTAAATTGTAGTGTAAGTTCGCCCCCACTCGCCAAATTTCCTGGATACGCCACTGTTTGCAGTTGAGGCATTGAGAAAAATAACTTACCAAACACTTGTAGCAGTGAGACCTTCAAAAAATGCCAAGTGTCCCCCATGCTTGGTGGTGGCTAAAATAATGTTTTTATTTCCCCTATATGAATTGATTCACTTCAGAGAATGATAATAATCATAATATATTAAAAGCAATAAATGTAGTGGATCAGTTGTACCCGAAAAAATATAAAACTAAACTAACCAAGCAAATGTGACATTAAATGTATTCCAGATACCAGGGGGCTCTGAACAAAAAAGAGTTTTTCGAAACAGCCCCAAGTTACACCCAATTACCCAAAAGTTCTCACTTTTTAAATATTTAAAATAATCAACAATGAACAGTCAGAAAACTTCCACTTGTAATCTAGTGTAGACATACACAACCAATATGGTCTCTGAGCTGAAGAGTATTAAGGTTGATGCACTAATGGTGGTGTGTAAAAAAGGAAAGAGATGTGATAGGGACTTGGGCAGCATACGGCTAATACTAAGAATATTAAATATTTTGATAATGTACAAGAGGGTCTAGGCCAAGTACTAATTACCTTTGGGCAGGCCCAAAGGAACAGGAAAATAAGAGCTAAGAGTAGAATAAGGGTAGGCTGGAATTCAGATAGAATTGGGCAGGGAGAGTGAGGCCTCTCGAAGTGTCTCTGTTCATCTCTTTCTTTCCTTTAACGTAACTTCACTTCTCACACCATTGTAATAGTTTAAGGAACTTCTGAGATTTCTCTGAAATCCTACTTAATATACCTAAATTTCTGCCAAGTTTGTTGGGTCTCTATTGGTATCAGAGCACTCACTCCTGGAGACAGAGAGTCTGAAACGATCATCACCAGAGCACCAACAATTGCTTGAGTTCTATCATCGCTACAGCACTGATGGAACAGCGATTGGAAAAATTGGAACAGAAGTTGGCTGAAATACGATCGAGGATGGTCGAGATGATTGATGAAGCACAAAATGAGGGTGGTCGGCCTGTATAACCAGCTTAAAGACTAAAATGGCCGGCAACCTAGAGGAAGATCGAGGACGGTTAGATGTTATCTGAACTCTGGAAGCAAAGGGTCATCGTCATCGCTAGCTGTTTCTCCTTGTTCGCCGTCACCAACTTTGTTGCTATCAGATTCTCTGAGTTCGCAGGTTTCATCTCAGTCGCAAGCAACTTTTTCCAGTTCTCGGGCTTCAGCGCGAGCCTGCAGTTCGCAGGTTTCCACATCCGCTGTCAATTCGCGTCAAGGTGCGATGCTATCAGGAGTGGAATCCAGTTCACGACGATCTCCATTTGCGAGCCATAGCACAACACGATCAAGAGGAGAAGCAGACCCTAGGCAGCTGCATCCGCGTGTGAGTCCTAGTACGATGATGTGCAGGGGAGAAACCATCAGTTCGCAGGTGACACCAAATGAACGGGAGATGTCCTTCATCGGAAGCCATATCTGCCCAGAAAGGGAGATTTCCTCATCCGCTGTCAATTCTATCAAAGTGTGCGTATCATCTGGTACCTGAGAACTTTATTAATACCGGTATCTTGATTATTGACAAGCATGGAAATGAAAATGTGTCCCTGCTATTCCCAAATTCTAAAAAATTCTTGGACAGAAAGGCATCAGATGATGACCAATACGAATGGGTGGGAGCTTCTAAGAGACTCACGGGTTCCAATATGTTCAAACTTCAATGGCATTTTATTGATGAGTTGAAACTATTTCATTCCGGGAATTTGGCAGAGTTAATGGACAGGGCCCTGCTTCGTGAAGGAAAAAATGCTGCCTTAGAACTGATCAATAAGGTCACAGGGGCTGAGGAAGAGGTCCGGTCTCTCCAACATATCCTTACCTATTCTGATCGGAAGGTTGCTAGTGCCCAAGACCGAAACCCAGAAGATTTTAAATCTTTAATTGACAGAGATCGTGAATTAGGATTGGTTGTTTGAATGAATAGTGTGAATTAGGATGGGCTGAACAAGTTTGTTGGTACCAATAGTTTCTATTCCCACTCTGGATCCCTATGTTTTCATAGGATGTGGGGCTCTCTTCTAGTTAACTATGGACAGCGGGAAGTACTGAGATTGCCTCTCCAGAGCAGAGTGAACTGCGGGAAGCTCCTAAACTACCGTCAAGAGAAGCTATTCACTATGGGATTCCAGCCACTGCCTACATCCTGGTTTTTTACCCTATTCCACAGCTCTTAGCTATTGGGACCTCAGATGGTAAGATGAAAGTTGTTGGAGGGAACAATATTGAAGGCCTGATGGTATTTCCTAAGACACAGTCATTCAAGAATTTAGAGTTCTCAAGGGACGGAGGTAGTAATATAGTACTCCCTCCGTCCCAAAATGATGGTCCTGTATTTCCTTTTTGGGATGTCCCAAAATGATGGTCTTGTTTCCCTTTTTGGAAAGAAAGATGTGGTCCATATCATTTCACTTTATTATCTTCAAATCTCAACCACAACTTTTACCTTTTCAACCACTTTATTAGAACTTGTGCCCAAAAGAAATGAGACTATCAAATTGGGACGGAGGGAGTATTAATTTGCTATGGGCCGGCCTGTAAGAAAAATAATATAAGGGCGAACTGGGAGTAGAATAAACGTAGGCACAACCTGGGATTGGGCTGGGAACTTGGGAAAGGAGAGTGCTCGAAAGTGTCTCATCTGTATCATTTCTTTTCAGTTTCGACAATTTCAGTTTTAATATTCAATAGTTTATCTCCAGATTTTGGAGTCAACAACGGCAATTCTGCCACTGATGCATAAGGGCAAGGAAAAGGTCAAACAACGTCAACAATTGTTCGCATATTCGGCGGCGGAGATGAGATCCCGGCTGGACGAAATGCACAATACGGGTAGGCTGGAATTCAGTTAGAATTGGGCTGGGAGAGTGAGGCCTCTCGAAGTGTCTCTGTTCGTCTCCTTCTCTCTGTTTACGTTACTTTACTTATCACGCCGTTGTAATAGCTTAAGGAACTTTTGAGATTTCTCTAAATTCCTACTTAATATACCTAAAATTTCTGCTGCGTTTGTTGAGTCTCTATCTTTCCCATATATTTTCCCATGCAGATAGTTCTCTAGGTTTGTATTAATGATCTCATAAAATGTTTACACAAGAACTAATGTAAATACCGGCACTCATCCCATGGAATTGCTTCTGTTGTACAAACTGGATCGTCCAATGCATTAATGCAGAGAAGAGGAACTGTTACATTTCCAACATAACAACTACTGCTACATTGCCTGTAATACGTGTCTACAGTCTGTGGCAAGTCAAAGTAACAAATAATCAGGCCTCAGTAACAATTAATGAATGTGAATCATTGAAAGGTGATTTAGAAACAATTTAAAGTTGGTACCTCATAGTTACCAAGGAGACGAGTGGCATGATTATCGAAGTCTCTAACACTACTTGACTGTAAGAAAGCACAAAAAATACTTCAATAGAGGTAGCTAACTAATTAGGTCATGGACACCATTCAATTTTACAAGCAAATGATCAGTTCTACAATGGTCCTGATAGCACTTTACTCACTTCATCACTTGTTTGATGTTATAAGAAGTATTTCGCAGCGCAAAGCTCTCTCACATATGTAATGCTTTAGAAATTCAAAGAAATCCAAAACACTTCACACGTGATTTGCTCAATTACATTAAAGGAAAGCCATAAAAGACTAAGCAATAGCCAATTATTAACCTAAATTACCTTTGCAATGCCATCCCATTCTACTAGACGAGAAAAAACAGACTCATGCCTGCAAAGTTGAGGGTTTAAAGCGTAAATCAATCCACAAATAGAAAGGCAAATGCAATATAATATAAAACTTGAGAAATGGTCATCTTAATATCAACAAGTTGGGAATTGGGATTGGTGGGATTAAATTTATAATGATGATGCCCTAAAAAAAATTGGGAGAACTATCAAATAAGCCCTCGAACTTACATAAAAAGTGCAAATAAGCCCCTTTATAGGAGACTCTGTCCGGCCGTCGCCATTTGGGGCGGTTCCCTGTGGATTTTTTTGATGAATTTTTTTGAGCATCTTATTCATTAAGTCTAGTTTACTCATACCAAATTTCAGCTAAATGTTCAATCGGGAAGGCACTCAAATGAATTTTTGAAGATAACTGCACAGTTAAACAGCGCAGTATATTTCAAAAAATCATTTGACTGCCTTCTCGGTCGAAGTTTTAGCTGAAAATTGGTATGGGTAAACTAGACTTAATGAAGAAGATGCTCAAAAAATCATCAAAAAATTCCACCAGAAACCGCCCCTAGTGGCGATGGTCGGACAGAACCTCCTATAAAAGGGCTTATTTGCACTTTTTATGTAAGTTCGATGGCTTATTTGATAGTTCTCCCAAAAAAATTCTAATGATGATTAATTTATAGAGCTGAGATTAGTTAACAACGGAACACTAAATTCATGCAAAAAAGCATGGTGACAAAATTTTATGCAAGCAACGTTGTTGCAACCGTCCTGTGAAGGAAGGAAGTAAGAAGGAATGATATGATGAATTTCTAAAACCATCATGGTAGGTCATTTGCACAATTGCACTTGCACGGAAAATGGAAATATCATGACTTTATGAGACAGTGATAAAGTGAGATGCTTATAAGGAGTATGTACTGCTAACAACACAATATAGCATATAATATCACAATTAACAAATATGTTCTTAGTATTATATATCACACATTCACACCTACTATACATCTAATTTTCACTTATCATACATCTAATTTATTAGACATCTAACTTTTTTAGAGTCGTGTTACAATTTATTTTTTTAACTTGGCTCTTAGACTGAATACCTAAATAGGTTTAGATGTTGATCATGTCATGTGCTCTGAATTGACTCAAACCAAATTAATTTTTTGGATCACAGCATACTGAGAATTGCTCGGACCAATACAAGTAACAAAAGAGGTGGCAGAGACATACAGCTGAGCATAACCTTTTAAGCCAATTGTTAGAGCTTTATCATAGTATTTCTGGATATGCCGGCGGTTAATAAACCTGTCGCATATCTGGAAAAGTCAAAACAGTTAGTCCAACTTTGTTAAGAAAATCAAAACCAAAACAGTCAATAAAACTCAAACACAACCACACTAGCAACATGAGGGGCATTGAGAGGGGCTTGAGAAATAACAAGCATAATTCAGCTTTACAGCAAATAAATTTAAGACCAGGCTTGGTGCTACTGCAATTATGGGTTTTACATTTTTGCGTAGAAAGTGGCTAACTGGCTACAGATAAGAAAGGAAAAACTACGATGACGAAATTGAAAAAGAAAGGATGGGGAGAAAGGATTTGCCGCAACATGATTATTTACATTATAGAGAGTAGATTAATTTTCAACTCAAAATAAACAGCTCAGTGGACTAAATAATTAAATAAAACTAAATGGTTGGATAAAGAAATGGATATTGGCAATCCCCACGGTTCAAGGGGACAATAATCAAGTGAATAAATATAGATGCTCAAGGAAACATCAAGAAATCATTAGTGCAAATCCAGATATTTAAAAACTAACCAAAAGGTCCCATGGAGAGCAGATAGCTGCTGCCCCAACGATGGGTGTATTGACCCCATCCTCACCAAGATACTTCACCTGAAAATATAAATAGAACTCTACAATAAAAGCAGCTTCCGTATGTGTTATATGTATTGGAGCTACACTAAAGGTGAAAAAAGGCAGATTGGGTGAGCCATTATGACTTTGTCCACAAACAAGCAGGTTGTTTAACATACTGGTCAGATTTTTTGGAGTTAGAAGAGGCAGGTCAAATTGGTTAGAATCGTTTCCATAAATAGGTCAGGCCGTTAAACTCAGTATCATTGGGTCAAGGTATTAAATACTGGTAATACAAAATGCAAAATGCATCAACTGGAATGGTTAACTACCCTCAGCAATTACATGGTAATTGTAATTATAAAGAAAAAACGTTGGGTGACAAATATATAGCTAAAATTGCATGTGAGAGCCAGACATTTCGTAATCTTCTTCAGGATATTTTTCAAAACTATTAGAAAAGGTATGAAACCCTGAAAGTTTGAACCGACAAACCTGAATGAAATGTTTTTGCTTCAGAAAATCCTCCCACACATTTGCACTTAACTCTATGTAACAAATCAGAATGAATAAAATATAATGGAAAAACGGAATTTTATCAATCCAAAAAGATATGCTAACTATCAATCCGGAACCCGAAAGATAAAAACTATCAATCATAGATTTTGATTTCTTTCATTTTTTATTTATTTTATTACTAAGTTTTGATGATTTTTTCTTCACAAAAGTTTATTAGCTAATTAAAGTTAACATAATTTTCAAAAAAGTTAAAATAAGTATAAATAAAATTTATGATATTTTTAGTCTTAGATTGATGGTTTTCAATCACTCGGACCCTCTATCGATCATTTTCATCTTTCAGGTCCTAGATTGATAGTTTAACTATCTTTCAGGTCCTGGATTATTGAAATTCCAAAAAAGAACATACTCCCTCCGGTTCTTATTAAAGTTCCCACTTTCCTTTTTGGGATGTCCCTTATTTAAGTTCACACTTCCATTTTAGGAAACAAAACAGTGCAAAACAGTGCCAAACAGTGTCCAAACAGTGCCAAACAGTGCCAAACAGTGCACTCTACAGTAAAGTCAAATTCATTTTCTTAATATGTGTGAGGTCAAACTGGGAACTTAAATAAGAACCGGAGGGAGTATAACCAACAACAACAACAACATCCAAGCCTTAATCCCAAAAGAATTTGGGGTCGGCTAACATGAATCGATCTATGATATCGATGCCAAAAAGAGAAGACAGACAAAAAAGGAAAAAGAAAGTAAGATAAAATTAATAAAATAAAGATAAATAAATATAAGATAACAATAACACAAGAATATAACATAGATAAAAGAAAAAAAAATAAAAGAGCATAAAAAAGCTAGAAGATAAAAATAACATAAGAATATAAAAAGATAAGAAAGATAAACGATAAAAGAAACAAGAAAAGTAGACAAGACATCAATCGTCCAAATGGATGTGCGCCCTCCACTTTGCTCTCTCCAAAACCATACTCTCATCCAACCCAAGAAGACGCATATCAGTTCTGATTACTCTAATCCAAGTCTGTTTGGGTCTTCCCCTCCCTCTCTTCTCTGACTCTTCTCCCCACCCATCAAGTCGTCTAACAGGTGCATCACTCGGTCTTCTATGCACATGCCCAAACCACCGCAAACGAGACTCCTGAATCTTATCTTCTATAGGTGCTACTCCCACCTTTTGTCTGATTACCTAATTCCTCAAGCGATCTTTTCTGGTATGTCCACAAATCCAACGCAACATATGAATCTCTGTCACACTCATCTTTTGAATGTGGCATTGCTTCACCGCCCAACACTCTACGCCATACATTAATGCCGACCTAATTGTTGTACAATAAAATTTACCTTTCAGTCTAGTCGGCATACCTCGATCGCATAGAAATCCTGAAGCACTTTTCCATTTCATCCACCCAGCTCTGATTCTATGGCATACATCTCCATCTAATTCACTATCCTTCTGAATTATGGATCCCAAGTAACGGAACATATCACACACTGGTATCTCCTTACCATCAAGAGTAATTCCTTTGTTGCTACTGCTTCTACCTCCACCGAACTTGCACTCCATATACTCATTCTTGCTTTGGCTCAGTCTGAAACCCTTGCTCTCCAATGTTTGTCGCCATACTTCTAACTTTGTTTTAACACCGGATTGTGTCTCATCAATCAATACAATATCATCGGCAAACATCATGCACCACGGTATATCTTCTTGAATTGACTTTGTAAGTTCATCCATGACTAAAGCAAATAAGAAAGGACTCAGAGCAGATCCTTGGTGCACTCCGATAGTAATAGGGAACTCTACGGTCCTCCCTACACTAGTGTGGACACTTGTAGTACAAGCATCATACATATCCATGATGATGCTGATATACTTACGTGATATGCCTTTTCTAGTTAAGGCCCACCAAAGAACTTCTCGAGGTACCCTATCATATGCCTTTTCTAAGTCAATGAACACCAAATGCAGATCCTTTTTAGTGTCTCTATATTTCTCCACAACTTGTCTAAGAAGGTGAATGGCCTTAGTTGTTGAGCGTCCAGGCATAAAACCAAATTGATTCTCCGAAATTTTCACACTTTTACGAAGTCTTTGCATTCTCGTCGCTCCAACTTTTGCCCAATTTATTATAGCATTCTCTTTTGGCCCTTATTGCTTGTTTCACCTCATCATTCCACCAAGATGTGTCCTTTTTTGGTGGCAGACATCCTTTAGATTCTCCGAGTATCTCCTTTGCCACTTTATTAATGGTGGACTCCATTGATAACCACACATCATCCACGTGTGCGTCATTATCAATAGACCAAACATCTTCCTCTAACATTTTGTGTGCAAAACTTTGTTGGAGATTCCCCTCGACCCTCCACCATTTTATCTTTGGCTCCCCTTGTACCTTAACTCGTCTCGTCTTTTTACCTCGAAAATCAAGCACAAGCATCCTATGCTCAGTGACAGCACTCTCACCTGGGATAACCTTACAATCAGTGTAGCTAGTTCTTCAAGTCGTCCGTACTAAAAAGTAGTCAATTTGGGTACTATTAGCTCCACTTCAAATGTCAAGAAAATTCACCATGAATATATACCTTACAAATGCAGAATACTTGATAGAGAAAGTATTTAGTACTAAATTACTAAATGAAAAAATATATATAAATGCATTTGTAAGGCATATATAGTTCAAAATAACATATACTCCCTCCTCTGTTCCTTAAAACATTGCCAACTTTCCTCTTTTGGTTGTCTCAATAACTTTGCCACTTTCCCTCTAAAGTAAAGAATTTGTAGTTCCACTTAATTTTCTCTCCTCTGCAAAAAACTTAACCACAGAGTTTTTACTTTATTAATCTCTGTGCCGGTCAAACTTGGGTGAGTTTTAAGAGACGGAGGGAGTATAAGAGAAAAAATGGGAAGAAGCATAGAAAACCATGAAAAGAAGCAAATGTGTACTTTGAATGCAAGCGAGGAAAGTATTGATCCTGGGTCAAGAATAAGAGGACTTAAACGCATGCATTTTTGCATGATAAGACTGAAGTTGCCCAATCCAAAACAGTTGTGAGTGTGCTAATACTAGATGTGCTGAAATTACCACCTATATACATGTCATATAGGAAGAACAACATGTCTGGTGTTGTAAAATTGTGTTAGGAATTGGGCCTAATAGACTGTTAGCAATTGGGCCTAATAGACTAAGAATAATAATAAATGTACTAGATTAGTATAAATAGAATAAGCTGGGAGAAGTCAGGTAGGCTGTTATTGACTGTTCAGTCTTTTCTGGGAAGATTGAGATTATTCTCTCTCTTTTGGAGGGCTTTGGCTCAGTTGGGGGCTTCGGCCATTGATAATTGTTCTTCAATAAAGTTTCTTGAATAGTTTTCTTTGAGAAAAAAAGAGAGAATAATCTCAATCTTCCCGGAAAAGACTAAACAATCAATAACAGCCTACCTGACTTCTCCCAGCTTATTCTAATTATACTAATCTAGTACATTTATTATTATTCTTAGTCTATTAGGCCCAATTCCTAATAGTCTATTAAGCCCAATTCCTAACGATACTCCCCCCTAAACATCCACCTTGCCCTCAAGGTGGGCGATAGGACACAGCCACCATCTTCTTCTTTTCATTCATCCTAGCACCTCTCCCTTTCCAATATTGGATGGATTGCTGGACTTTTAGTTTTGTTGCTTCCATCTTCTTCTCTATGTATTTCACAGTAGAGTTATAGAGATGCCATGACATTTGTTTTTGCAATTTGGTTCTTTCAGATTCTGTGGAGCTGAAGTCACAGCCTGCTGCAACACCGAGGACAGCAACTTCTTGCTTTTGAACACTTTCTTCTTCAATATCAATAGATAACTCATGATAGTTCAGCAATTTTCCTTCTCCTCTCTTATTTACCAAGCTCTTCATCTCCTTATTTATTCCTAGTTGATGATCTCCTTGTATACTAGCCTTTTGCCCCTGTACCTCCCATTTGATGGTCTGATTTTGAAAGTTAACTGCCATATCCCCTAGGCCAGTTAACCAGCTCATTCCCAGCACTACATCCACTCCCCCCAATTGCAGAATGTAAAATTTCTGCAAAATTTCATTTCCTTGTACAACCACTGTTAACCCATCACACCTACCATAGTTGGGAAGAAATTCCCCATTCCCTATCTGCACTTTAATCCCCTTAATGCAATCAAAAGGTATCTTCCATTCCTCAACAATCTTCTGTGAAATAAAATTGTGAGTAGCTCCACAATCAATCAAAATATGCACCTTCTTTTCCTCAATCAGCCATTTCAGATTTCCCAGGACTTTAAATGTTCTCATGAGTGGCGTTCCTTCTTTGTTCAACACAGATAATTGCATAGTCTTAGCTTCCATAAGGATTCCTTCTTCTTTTTGTTCTTTACTAAAGTCAGTATCAGATTCTTCCTCCCCTTTAGATTGTTCTACCATCATTATTTTAAAAAAAATCATTCTACAAATGTGACCCCGATTCCAGTTTTCACCACATTTAAAACATAACCCTTTTTTACTTCTTTCTTGCATCTCATTCTGTGATAATCTGGGGCTTGTATTCTTAGAGACAGAACTTGATCCTTCTTCCAGCTTCTTGTTATCATCTGAGTTCTTCATCAATTGATTCATAGATGTCAGATTACAACTATTTCTACTACCATCTCCCCATTTATGATAGCTCTGTCCACTTGCTGAATTTATTTTCAGGATCTTCTTTCCCTCATCTTTATTCTTTATGATGTTGGCTTCATGGTTCTTCTTTTCAATCAAGGAAGCTGTGTCCATGACAGCAGCTAGGGTTCTTGTAGGATATAATTTCAATTCAGCCCTTATATCTCGTTTCAACCCATTGAGGAACACTCCTCTAAGTACCTCCTCAGTCAGATGTCCCTGTGAAGCTATAGCAACTTCAAATTTATATCTGTACTCCTTCACCGTCCCTTTTTGCTTCAAACTAAACAAAGATCCCAGAGGATCCTGCACCAAATCTGGTTGAAAACGTTTGCTTAGATCCTTCGTAAAACTCTCCCAAGTCTGGTGACGAGCCTGGTCTTCCCACCATTGGAACCAGCTCAGTGCCTGGTCTTCCATGGCTATCACGGCAACATCAATTTTGTCTTCTTCCTCCGTATGATTCAGGCGGAAATAACGATTCATTCTTACCAGCCATCCCATAGCATCTTCTCCGTTAAAAATCGGTAAATCAATTTTTCTTCCAGTTCATTGGTGGTGATCATGTCCCCTGCGGCGATGGCGGTGGCGGTGCGGTGGTGAACGATTGTCGTTCCCTTCCGAGTTCTTAGAACTCACTGAGTGTCACGACTGATGATGGTGAGAAGTGCGATGCAGATGAGCGATGCGATGCACATGAGCGATGCGATGCAGATGAGCGATGTGACCTACTTCTCGAACGCTTGCATCCAATCTGGCCATAATCGTTGCCAACATCTCCGCCGTTTGTTGATGATTCCTATCCACCTTATAATCCAATCTGTTGTGGTTATTCTCCAACTCATTCATCCGCAAATCCATCTTTGTCCATGTCCAGACCATCCACAGAATCTACGTTCTCTGATACCAATGATAGACTATTCTCCAAGTACACAGTAAATTCACAGAAAGATGAACAGAATTCAAAGAAAACTATTCAAGAAACTTTATTGAAGAAGAACAATTATCAATGGCCGAAGCCCCCAACTGAGCCGAAGCCCCCCAAAAGAGAGAGAATAATCTCAATCTTCCCAGAAAAGACTAAACAGTCAATAACAGCCTGCCTGACTGATATATACTATTTAAGTAATGCAAAATAAACCACTGGAATTTTCAGTGTTGTCTTAAGTTACCTTTTCTGCTCAATATGAACAGCAATGACCCTTTGAAATTATCTTGTTAAGATGTGCATTCTCTTTCAGCATAAAACATCCAAAAAAAAGTAGATATGCATCAAGGAAGCCGATTTCCCACACATTTTTTAGATTTGTTTGCAATAATTATTCATAAAAAGTGCCAGCTTTCATTCAATCACCTAGTTTAACAAACTGTTTAAAATTTGTTTTTCAATGTTGCTTTGTTTCCAATCACTGAGGTTATAATTACGCTGGACATATTTAAAATATATAAAAAATGAAAAAGTAAGAGAGCAAGTAACAGGCATAACTTTCTTACCAAAACATTAGCGCCAATACTTGTTCCTACAGAAAATAAAGGAGCTTCAGGATATTGGATATGAAGATAGTCAATGACTGCACGAATATCTTCCGTCCATCCAGCATTATAAAAGCAATCAGACTGCACAACTATGATAATGAGTTGCCATTCTCACTAAATGAACTGTACCCTTGAGATAGCACACTTACGGTTATAGATACACCTCCAAGGCCACGATGATTGCTCACAACAGCTCTCCATCCTCGTCTAGCCATCTTGAAAACTAGATGTTTTACATACTGTTCAAGTGAAAACAATTGTCACTTTAATATTTAAAAGTGACATATTTCAGACACTTTTTGAAATATTTAAGTAGCTAAACTTTTCTCTTAAAACTTTTCCTTTAGTAAACTTTAAGGCAAAACCCCACATAATTATGAAGAAATGCATATAGTTCACAGATTTTAAGAGGATAACAACCATAAATTCTAAACATGATGCAAGAAGCATTTTCAAGATCTGTTAGTTTGTAAGGTTGTATGAAGAAATTGCAACGGATATGAATGAAGCTTACTGCAGAATTGCTATCACTTGTTAGGCCAGGTACCACTATCAGGATAGGGCTTTTATCATTTGTGTAAACTCCATCATAAGTTTTAATAGATGGTGACTTATCTAAAAATCAGAAACAACAATAACAACAAAAGGAACCAATGAAATGTCAGCGGGAAATCATGTGTAGCAGACATGAAATTAAGAAAGGTTACAAAAGGTATAGGATGAATAATGGCAAGCACCTAACAGTATTTTACCATTATATGCCTTGACATACATCATATACTTTTGTCATTACCAGTTTTTACTTATCAGGAATACTACGGGTACTAGCTAAAGAGTTAGTAACTCGTTATATTTATGCTTTTCTTTCCATTAATGATGGTTGTATTGTGATAATACAACCTGGCACCAGTGAATTTATCACCTACCACCTTCAATGAAACGACAAAGTTAATTATCTAATAAAGTTTTTATCATACAGGAAATGTTGAGTTTTTTATGTTTTTTAAACTGTTAGATGTAAGCATAATTAGGCTAGGAAGATAAAAAGGTGGAAAAAGAAAGGTTCAAATGTTCAATAAGACATCATAGGAAGTGTTACTGCACATATTGAAAAAACTTCTAAGGACAAATTATTTTTACTGTAATTTAGTGTCACAAACTGTTAGTACGAATGGATCTTCAAACCATTATTGCTCCTCATTTGCATTAGCCTACAAAATATGTGGTCAACCACGTGGCGCTTCTCATATATAGTAAATAACAAGAATGTACCATCTCTCATACATCATTCAACCAGCAATAGTATTGTATCAACCATTATACTAAATTTGATTGCAGACAAGTGGAAAAGAAAACTGTGTTACCATCATCAATGTTCAGCCAATCCAATGCTATTGTCCCACCATCAGGTGTATGAAACATCTGTCTGGTGGCAATTACATGTTAGCAAACACTATCAATAAAAGGAATCAGTCAGTTGGGTACATCTCACCTTTTATAGTTGCAGACGGGAGGCATCCCGAAAAAATGTAAGAAGGCCGTCTGTAGATGCGGACTACAAAGCCATGGAGTCGGAGAAAACCTGCATTTCATTTTAACCGCAATAAAGTGTGAGTCAGTTGCATCGCTTAAATTAGCTTATCAAAAAAACAAGCACAGCTATGGTACATAGAGCACTCTGAAAATTAGAACATCGCTAAAACACGCGCGACTTGTTTTACAGTAATTGTCGTGATAAGTTTACCTTCCATGAAGAACTCTACATCTGGAAATAACTCGTTCGTATAGCTCAGAGGAGGGACTGAATGTCAGCGACACGGGGTTCCCTCTAAACCCCGTAAGTAAATCTCGGAAGAAATAGAGTTCGGCGAAATTGTAAAGAAACAAGAGAATCAGTGAAAGAGAAACAAAGAGATAGTGAGAGATTGGAATCAAATCAGCCGCTCTGAGCAAAAGCTCGTAGGGATTACGGAAAGCAGAGTCTAAGCAACCGTCCATGGTGGTCGTCTGTCGGAGAAAGGAATCAAGCACTCGGGAGGCAAACCAAAACTTATTTTTCAGTTTTTCACGATAGGTTGCAATTTTTGGACTGATAAAAAATGATCATCAAAATTGCCATTTACGGAAATTTGCTTAAATAAGCGGACACTTACAATTTATAACCTTCAACCAGCGCACGTAGTGGACCCGGTTGCAAAACGACGCAGCTTCACTGGTTGATTCCATTATTTTTTATTTCTTTTATTGTTAAAAATTGTAATAATTTTTTTATTTGTAATCTGATTTTTATAAATTTTATATCAATTTCTTTTTTTATTTTTCATGATCTATCAAATGAGACTAATATTGCTTATGTAATTTTAACAAATTATTTTGAAGTTACATTTGATAATATATCATCAAGTTACATCTTCTTCTGCGCGAGTTACATCTTATTGTACGCGAGTTACATCTTAATATACGCGAGTTACATCTTAATGTATGTGAGTTACACCAAGAAATAAATCCTTGCTACATCTTTCATTTTTATCATTTGAAAAATAGTGTATGAATATGAAATACAATATACTTATTTTATGTGGATTAATAAAATTTTGTATTAAATTGGCAAAGAAAAAAATTAATTCAGTTATAATTGAATTAATTCAAGATAAAGATAAGTGAAAAATCACAAATAATTAGATATAACTCACACATAATTACATGTAACTCGCGCATAAAAGTATGTAACTCGTGTATAACAAGATGTAACTCACACATAATTACATGTAACTCGCGCATAAAAGTATGTAACTCGTGTATAACAAGATGTAACTCACACATAACAAGATGTAACTCACACATGATAACTTGTAACTGGAGTATAAGATGATGTAACTTCGTATATTATCAAATGTAACTCCAAGCTAGAAGCAAAATTGATAAACCCAGTATTTAACAATCAAACAACCATAACAAGAAGAATAAGCAGGTAGAGAGATATCGAGAAGATTAAAACCGAATCCGGTATACCGTATAAACCCCACTGCTCTCCCTCGAGAAGGAGAGCAGCGGAAACCCTTTTCTCTATCTCGCCTCTACGCACCCTCAGCCTCTTTCCGATCTTTAGTTCGGGTTCCCATAAGTTAGCCTCCTTTTATAGGAGAAGTTGGCTAACTTACGGGTTACAAGAAAGTCCTCGGGCTAATACACATTTGTGGCCCGTATTACACGTTTAATTGATAACTACACAAATACAAAGATAACTAACTAGATTGAACACCATAAAATATTCTCAACAAAAATAAACAAACTCAATATCTTAAAAACCTCTGAAAACATATAAAAGTGATAAAAAAATATATTATAGAAAAAGTGTATGCATATAAAAATATATTACAAAAAATGTATGAATGTAAAAAATAAAATTACACAGGCAATATTGGTCTCATTTGAAAGATCATGAAAAATAAAAAAAAATTGATATAAATTTTATAAAAATCGGATCAAAAATAAAAAAATTATTAACAATTTTAAGAAAAGGAGAAATAAAAAATAACAAAGGGTGCATGGTGCTCACCATGCACCGGTTCCACGGTATAAGCACTGCATGCTATACGTCTAGAAAATTGAGTTTATTAGGAAACTAAGATAAGATATTTCCCACGGATACCGATGCATGCTTTTACTCATTATTTAATGATTTTTTTACAAGAATATTACTAAAATAAGTCATATTTACATAAATATGACTATTCATTACTACAATGTGGTGTTGTGGTAACTTAAGCTCAAAACTTAAACATGAATTACTATGATTTCATTACTACTCTAGTCATTAGTCATATTTTTGTAAATCATTTTTATTTTGATCATATTTATGTGATTATTTCTTATTTAATTAAATATTAAAATAAAAATAAATTTAATTTTTAGGATTCTACATTTTCGAAAAATAAAAGTACAATAACCCAATAACATAAAATATAAGTTAATACAATAAATATTCAATGAAGAGTATATTAGAAAAAAATAATTAGACATCACTCACTAGAACTTGCTACTTCTTGATTTTCATGATTAAATTAATTTTAAAATCAAATGCTATTATAAAACATGAATACAATAAATATTTAAATTAATGAGTAACGTGTCTTAGTCATATAAGAATTTGCTACTCATTAGTTAAATTAGTGCTAACATATGAGATGAAAGTTATCTTACTCAATTCTTAGTCGGCTTATCTGGTACAAAAAAAAACTACACATGAAAAAAAAATTCTCTCACTCAATTGTTAGTTAGCCGGATTAACTTATAACTAAAAGCACTACGTATGAGAGATAAAATTCTACTGCTTAAATGTTAGCCGCTATTCTATACTTAAAAGAACTCCATGTATGAGAATTCACCGCTCAAGTGTTAGCAAGTTTATCTTCTAATAATATCTAAAAGCACTACATATGAGAGATAAAATTATCTCGCTCAATTATTAGCAAGCTTATATTGTAATGTCTAAAAACACTACATATGAAAGACAAAATTATCTCGCTCAATTATTAGCAAACTTATATTATTATTAGAAGAAAAACTTGCTAACATTGAGCGGTGAATTCTCATATATCTGACAGAAAGTTCTTCCGCTCAATCATTAGCAAACTTAACTTTTTATATTTAAAACCCTTACATAAAAGAGACAAAGTTCCTCCGCGAACTGTTAGTGTGCTTACCTTATCTCTAAAAGTACTACATATGAGAAGAAATAATTCTTTCGCTCGATTGTTAGCCGGCTTATCTTATACTTAGATGAACTATATAAGATATTTGATTAAATAATTTAACATTGATGACAAATTGTTAAATGTCTATAATTTATTCTGAGAGAGTATACTTACTTCTTTTATTGGAGAGAGAATTGTAGAAGAAAATATTATACCTCAATAATTAAGTATCTTCTAATATTTCAATAAATCTAAAATTCAAAGTTTTTAAATGAAGTATCGTAAAGTGGTGGACTAATACTACCTCTATCTAGATAGACTTTGCACTCCTTGAGTTACGAGAGAAATGAGAATAATAAAAATTATTTGGATGAGGTTTGTGCGGAGAGATAAATGAGCAGAAAAATAAATTCTTCACTTTAATCGGAAAGTGACAAAGTTTTTCGGGACAACAAAAAAACGAAAGTTGGCAAAGCCCAATGGAACAGAGGGAGTACCATATGCTCCGTACATTATATATGCACTAAACTATTTTTGTATTATACTCTGATTGAAGAGATTATTCCAGCAATTTATTGTTGATGGATATACCATGACTGAGTCATGTCGCTTGACATATATTAGACTACATCAAAAGGACTTGCGAAGTGGACTATATACGGGATTGGCTTATGTTGTTGGTCGTGGTGAAACTGACGGATCCAGGTTGGGACAACTCATTGTACTTCCTAACTCATTCACGGGAAGTGCACGTTACATGATTCAAAACTACCAGGACGCGATGAGCATCTGCAGGTGGACAGGATACCCACAACTCTTCATCACGTTTACATGTAACCCAAAGTGGCCTGAGATTGTTCGCTACGTGGAGTGTAGAGGACTTGCTCCAGATGATCGTCCAGATATCATTTGTAGAATCTTCAAGATAGAACTTAAAATGCTCATAAAAGACTTGAAAGAAAATAGACTATTCGATGAAGTTAAAGCAGACATGAGCTGATTCTATTAATTAGTTAGCGAAGTTTTATGTAATTACATTACTATTAATACTTTTCTCCAACATAAACAACTATAATTTCATGTGATGATAAAATAACAAATAATTAATTATATCCTATGTAGTTGTATACACTGTGGAGTTTCAGAAACGTGGATTGCCACATGCTCATATTGTGTTATGATTGACGCGAAAGGACACGGCTATATTGGCATCAGACATTGACAACATTATCTCAGCTGAGATTCCGGATGAGAAACATGACCATGATTATTATGTTGCTGTCAAAGAGTTAATAATGCACGGGCCTTGTGGGGTTCTGAACAAGTCTTCGCCATGTATGGAGAATGGTCGCTGCACGAAACACTTTACGAAGAACTTCGTGAGACGTAATACAATTGATGGAAGTGGATTTCCCATTTACAGAAGAAGAGAAAATGGAAGGAGTGTAATGAAGAATGAGACACCTCTTGATAATAGATTTGTCATCCCTCATAACCGTACATTATTGCTCAAGTATGGGGCTCACATTAATGTTGAGTGATGTAATCAAACTCGTGCAGTGAAATACCTCTTCAAGTACATTAATAAGGGTAATAATCGGATCACAGTTGCATTCTCTGAGGCATCCGACAATCGTAAGCCAGAAAAGGTCGATGAGATCAAAATGTATTACGATTGTAGATATATCTCTGCATGTGAAGCGGCTTGGAGAAATGAATAAGCTTGTTTTGTACTTCTGTTTTTGGGAAAATACATAAGATCCAGATAGTCTTGTTTTGCCATATTTTGCCGGTTCCGTTGATGGTTAAAGCATAAACATTAGAATGGTTTATCAGTTTGATTATTCATTGAGTTGAGTTTTGGTTAAATCACCGTCAACTGGGGTCACTTGTGTGTTATATACTGCATTAATATCACCGCTAGAAAAGCTTATCATCGGCATTCCAGATTTCTGCACAACACAGAGACATGGTATGTCTCGTGGACGTTGTATAACTTATATTAAGTTGTGTTATTAAGGATATACTACTTATGAATTATGAAAAATATGTGGCTATATTTAAGAAAAAGAGGTTTGTGAGTAGAATTTCCAAATTGAATAAATTTCACTTTTGATCCTACGAGTTTGATGTCAATTCCACATTTAGTTCACATCTTTCACTTTGTCTACTTTTGATATGTGACTATTGTGTTTTCGCCCATATATGATCATCCCGTCAATGTTTTCGGTGATTAAAATCATCGGAGAAGGACCGCAACTGGTCAAAAATTATTTGTCAAGTACCAAAAGTGGACAAAGTGAAAGAGGTGAACTAAATGTGGAATTGACATAAAACTTGTATGACCAAAAGTTGAATAATTTCTTTCCAAATTTATTATTCGCTCCGGCCTGTGTTTTAGGAGTCCCGCTTTGTGTACACGCCGGGGTACACGTCGGGTTACACGTCAGTCAAATTGTCTGTGTACAGACAATTTGGCCGGCTACACAGACGATTTGATCGACGTTTTATAAAGAAAATCGATTTCCACACAGACAAAAATAAAGAGTTGTCTGTATCACAGACATTTTAGACGAGAATTTTTCATAAAATGTTTGTGATACATACAATTTTAAACGAGAATTTTAAACGATAATTTTAAAATGTTTGTGCTACAGACAATTTTTTATTTTTTGTTTGTGTGAAAACCGAGTTTCTTCATAAAACGTCAGTCAAATTGTCTGTGTAGCCGATCAAATTGTCTGTGCACAGACAATTTGATCGACGTGTAACCCGACGTGCAAAAAATGGCATGTAGAAAGGGAATTTTACATGTTTTAGTACTCGGTATTTTTCATGTCCTAAACTCCGAAGTCCTAATCCTAATTCCTAATCTCATAAATGTAAGGGAAAACTGTCAAATAGGTCTTCAAACTTTCATTAAAAAGTCAATTAAGTCCTTCTATAGGAGACTCTGTCCGGTCGTCGCGATTTGGGGCGGTTTCCGGTGAAATTTTTTGATGAAATTATTTGAGCATCTTATTCATCAAGTCTAGTTTACTCATACCAAATTTCAGCTAAAAATTTAATCGGGAGCGCATTCAAATTAATTCGAGAACGTAAAAATGCGCAGTTATCTTCAAGAATTAATTTGAATGTGTTCCCGATTGAATTTTTAGCTGAAATTTGGTATGAGTAAACCAGACTTGGTGAATAAGATGCTCAAAAAATTTCATCAAAAAATTCCACCGGGAACTGCCCCAAATCGCGACGGCCGGACAGAACCTCCTATAGAAGGACTTAATTGACCTTTTTATGAAAGTTCGAGGACCTATTTGACAGTTATACCTAAATGTAAATGTGCAACATAATTAACGTTTTGGGCCATTTTTCCACGAATAAAAACTTGGAGGTGCATCGATGCGAAAAATCTCAAAATCGGACGAATTTTGTTGTTTAGGCCGTCGGACAGCTGGACTGCTTTCATCCTCGCCGCATTATTTAGTCCGGCGGATGACTCCGAGCGGTGGGCGGTTGCGGTACTAGCGTGGTCTTCATCGGCGTCCGGTAGTAAATCGGCAGTTCCCAAATTTCGGACGTCCCAACAGCTGCAGATGGCTCTGTCCCACAGCAAAGCCGCCGTGGCAGCCAAGCAAATCCGCCACGCTCGCACGTTTGTGAACGCCAAGGTGAAGTGGGTCAGGGACCCTTACCTCGACACGGCAGTGGAGAACGAGAAGAACCTCAAACCCTTGCTCACTCTCAAATCATTGATCCTCTCCCAACCTTCTAAAACCCTACCGCTCCGAACTATCTCCCCGTTGAAGCCCCAACTAAGGCTCCCAACCACCGCATTGACATTCATCCAGAGGTACCCTTATGTTTTTAAGATTTTCCGGCCTCCAAACAGCCGCCTATCTACTCCTCACGTGAAACTCACTCCAAAGGCTCTTTCCCTACAAAACGAGGAGGCACTGATTACAGGCCTTTCATTGTACCGGAAAGACGTTGCAGAACGGCTCGCGAAGCTCTTGATGCTTGCTAGAGCTAGGAGACTCCCTCTGGATGTGATTGACAAGTTTAGGTTCGATTTGGGCTTGCCCTATGATTATATACTCAGTTTTCTACCTGAATTTCCGGACTATTTTCAAATTTGTGACATGGGGTTTAGGGATCCATCACCATCGGGTCCTCAAGTGTTTGGATTGGAATTGGTTAAATGGAGAGATGATTTAGCAGTTTCGGCCATGGAAGAGAGAGCGACGAGTGAGGTTTCTGAGAATGGAAAGGGAGGGCACATTAGGTTTTCTATTAATTTACCAGGAGGGTTTGATTTGCAAAAGAGGGTGGCAAATTGGGTTGAAGAGTGGCAAAACTTGCCTTACATTTCTCCATACGAGGATGCTTTTCATTTGAATCCGAGCAGTGACCAGGCAGAGAAATGGGCAGTTGCTGTGATCCATGAAATGCTTAGTTTGCTAGTGTCAAAGAAGACAGAGAAGGAGAATGTTTATTCTTTTGGGGACTGTTTGGGGTTTGGGATGAGATTCAAAAAGGCTTTGGCTCATCATCCAGGGATATTTTACGTTTCTAATAAAATTAGCACACAGACTGTAGTTCTAAGGGAAGCTTTTAAGAAGAATTTCTTAACAGAGAAGCATCCATTGATAGGTATCAGATACAAATACATATATCTAATGAACTTAGTGTTAAGAAGAGGCATTCCCATACATGCTGGAGCGTTACGGTATAGGAAACGCTTGGCCTCTATTAAAGGGTGGAACTTTGGGGCAAAGAAAAAGATCCGAAAACTAGTAATGACAGATGGTGACTTTTACAGTAATGATGATTAAAATCATAAAACAGAGGAAGAAGTGGGTAATAGAGGAAGTGGCTTGCCGAAAAGTTGGCTGGGTGTCTGATTCTAAGACTGTAAGGAGGTTGCTGGTGATATGATTCCAAAGGTCGTTCTTGAGCAGGTATGCTTACCTGTAACTATTTGTCTTGAAGTGTCTTGAATACTTTTTATCGCCTTGAAAGTTTTATTGTATATCCTGTCCTGCTATGACTAGAATCTGTACCACTTTAAGTTGATTATGAATGTCTTGTCAATTGTTTTGCTACTTAAAAACCTTTTTGGGATCAAATAATCATTAATCTGGTAGGGCACAAGTAACTAACATCTTCTGGTGGTGGTTGTAAAAGTAGGGTCACTAAGGTGTGAAGTATTGCAGGAAATAATCTGCAAGACTGCTATTCATGTGTTATGCACCAATTGTTGGTGGAGTAGTGGAGTTTGATTTAGTAGATGATGATTCATAATTGTACAGGTTTACAGTATAAGATAAAGTGTCTGTTTTGTAAATGTTTGGCATTGCTGAAACTGCTGGATTTTATTGAAGAGAAAGTGCTTTACAGTAGAACATTTCAACCAATTAGCTAAATAAGTCAAAGCTACTTGGGGCTACCAAACAGAGCCACAGATGTATTGCTATCCCCAAGCGTGTTATAAAATATGAAGCTTAGGAGGATTGCAATCTGATGTTGGAAGTGTGAGAAAGTCAATCCCTAGTAGATGATGATAGTTAGACTCTTCAATTGACCATGGTTAGTGTTTGGGAGAAGATAAAGTTCTATCAAGGCATCAACTACTAGAATTGATAATCAATGTCCTTTATTTGTGTACTCATCATGCAAGTGTTTGGCAAAAACGCATTCGAGAAATTCGAAAAGGGATTCATCTCAATGCACTTCTCAGTTCTCAGATCAACACATAGGCTCACACAAGAAGATTTTGGTTTTCAAATTTGCGCTCCTGAATGCTTATGACTGGTCAGACCTGACCCGCCTGATCGGTCTTGTGCCTCATTACATTGACTTGATGGGAAAATACAAGTTCAGCTCACATGGAAGTTTTACATCAGATCTTTTGAATCTCAAAATAGAAAACATTAGCACCTGTTTGGCATGTGTTATTTGGCTAAATTTGCGGAGTTTTATTAAAGTAAAATTGTTTACTAAAATTCATTTTAGTCAAGTAAATCAAAAGCTTGGTATTTTGCAAAAGATATCCTTAATATTATATTTTCCTCCCTTGTTACATTCTGCTTTTAGAAATGTGGAAATTATACCAGGCTCATCCAAAAGCGCACACATCCCAAGGCAGCTGCAAGAATTTTATAAGAAACTGCAGAATTCGAGGTAAAAAGCTTTTATAAGGAAGAAGGGGAAGCTAAGCTAAGTGCAGAGGCTCTTTGCAGGAAAAGGCTAAAGATCATGCTTGTCAATCAATGAAGGGTATGCCTAAAATGAAGATGACCCATGCTCAATAGTTTGTAGTTGATCTATTTGGAGTTAAGTGTGTTCTCTGATTTCAAGCTAAATTTTCTTCAACGATTCTGCCCTCAGGGATTGAATTCCTGTAGTAAGGTGTCTTTCTTTCTTTAGCCATATGTTTTAATTCGATCCAGTATGCACAAACACGATAAAGTAATAAATTTTGTTCGGTGAAAATTTATCTTTTTTGTTATACTACGTATGAACTTGTGATGTGCTACTGTATGTAATATTCCCTCCACCCTATCATCAATATATTTAATCTCCACTAGTAAAAATTTTAAAAACTATATTTGAAAATTTGTAATTAAAATAATTTAACTCTATTTTTCAACAAAATCCCATACATTAATAAATAAAATATAGTCCAAGTAGAGCATGTAAATTGTGTAAAATCCAATATGTTTGTAACTAAAATGGAACAAAAACAGTACTAAATAAATCTAAACACAAATATGAAATTTTAAAACACTAGCAAAAGAATCCATGTGTGTCATCATTGTAGTCCAGACTCCAGATTAAGTGTGACAACATAATTCGAAGAGAAAGATGTGGGGAGGGGAGGAAAATCTGAGTTGAGACCGGGATCAAGAGGAGGTGCGGAGTAAAGAGATATAAATTAGTGTAAGATATATGAGGTTCTTCTGGTGGGGAGGCTTTGCCATTTTTAGAGCAGATCAACTTGGAGTTTCAGACCAGGAGGAGAGCTGGTTTGGAGAAGCTGGTGTGGGGCTGCTGGGCTGTCTGGTGCGAGCGAAATCATCGAGTTTGGAATGGAGTGGAGTCCACAGCACAGCATGCAGGTCATTAACCGAGCACAGGCTTTCGTTGATGGTTGGATTCTAGCGCAGGCAAGACAAAGAGTTAGGGAGCAGCGAGTGCCTTCGTCCGGAGCTTTGTGGTGTAGGCCGGCATCTGGCAGGTTGAAGCTCAATGTCGACGCAGCGGTGCGGCAGAATATTTGTGGCCTCGGTTGGTGTGTACGAGATGAGGAAGGCAGGTTTATTGCGGGGCGTCTCATCCGTGGCTCGGAAGATTATCACCGTTAAGTGCTGAACTTGTCGGGATTCAAGAGGCTCTTAGCTGGCTAAAAGAAATGGTTGGACTGCGATGGAGGTTGAGACTGATTCGACGCGATCTGTTTCTGAAATTGTTCAAGGATCGAGTTGTTCTTCGGTTGGATTACTGGGTGAAGACACAAGAGATTTGGTAAAATATTTTTCGAGCATTTCTTTTAGTCATATTAAGCGATCAGCGAACGAGACAGCTCATTCTCTTGCGAGAGCTGCTTGTTCTATGTCTGGTTTGCGGTCATGGTTTTATTCTCCTCCTTTTATTGTATCCGCTTTAGACAATGATTTGATTAATTTCAATTAATTTCTCTTTTTTCAAAAAAATATATATGAGGTTCTATCCTAAAAGACCAATCTGACAAAATGAGTAGCCTAAAATATTAGTATAGTGTTAAATAGTTCATATTTTACCGATGTAAGAAACATTTCATCACTTTCTTTCACGTACGACCAAACAATTTGTCTGGTTCGTGTCACCATTCATTACTTTTTAGTCCATCATAATCATTGCCATTTTTCAATTAAAACTGTACCCATTCAATTACCCCATCTGCGTGCACAATCAGTCTTCCTTTTCCATCTCTCCCAACCCATCCACCACAACCTAGACAAAGAAGCGTCAATGGAATCATCTCCGGCCTTTCAGGTAAATTGGGTTGTAGCGATGTTTATATTAGTAGATGGATTAATGTGATTGATTCAGTATAGTTGAATGGCTTATTTAACCCTTTTTCCAAAGATAAATTAACATTTAAAATTTGTGTATTTAGAACTACTATAAAAGTTCTGTTGAATTATTCCGAATCCCATTTCTAGTATGATAGAAACTGATACTTATTGTCATAAAACACAGGATAATTGGGTTGATCACATAAACAGTTCGCTAGATGGAAAGAGTTACTACATCCACATACACACAATACATTATTACCTAATCGAAACATAACAGACTACAGTCAAAGTAGACTACAAAAGACAAGGGAATTGCCATGGCCTTACCAAACCTTTGGTAAAGGTCTGTGCTAAATCTGTTCCAAACCCATTACTTATTTGTAGTGTGAAGCACACCATGCAGGTGGAATGGACAGAAACTTAGCAACTTATTATTGACTCAATACTAACATACTACTACTCCATATTTGATTAGAGCTCATCATGATCAACCTTGGTGTTGGTGCCAGCACCATCTGCAGGAACCTGGGAATTCATAAGCAAGGGTCTTGAGCAATAATCTTCCTCAGGAATAGGACCGCCGCCATTACCCTTACCCTGACGAAAGTTTTTCAGGAAGTTCTGGAAACTCAAGGCCGAGTCCTTTGGAGTTCTTGTCAATTCTTTGCTGCTGCGATCAACGCTGTACAACCCCATCCTTACACTAAATCCGGTTGCCCATTCAAGGTTGTCCATGAATGTCCAAGCAAAATAACCTTTCACCCTAACCTTGAACTCACTGCATGCATGCCCACAAATCCATTCATCAACCACTAATATATCTTGGGACATTTACTTAAATGTAGCTAAAATATTCACAGATTTCTAATACGACTCTATATGAGTAATAATTGAATTGAAGACAGGAAAAGTAGGATCATAACATATATCATACATATATCATACATCTCTTTTGATCTTGCCCCTAGCTAGTAATTTTCGCATTAGTAGTACTGCGTATATCTTTCATCATCATTATCATGCACATATTGCTATTAATTAGTCTCACATTCCAGGTGGTTTATGAATTACCAAATAAAGCAATCTTTTACTCAACATTGTAGTTAGTGGCAATTTCACAAAATCCAGAGGTGTTATTATCAAGAGGGGATATATACTAGGCTGGCTTGTCTGGTACAATTTTTTGGATGAATTTCTACACAAAATCTATATACTACGGAGTAATAATTAAAGATTTTTTGAAATTAGGGGTATAAGGTAAAAGTTGAACAAGGGCCTAATAATCTATTGATGAATAAAATATAGATAAGTCTTTTGAAATTTGAGCAACATTTTACTCCTATTTAAATAAATAAATTGCTTTATAAGAGAACAATATAACATAAACAAGCCATATTTAATATATCTAAGATACTGGACTAACCAAATGGCTTGACGGATATATGTAAGATGATCTTGATGGTACTTTACCCTCCAGTCATCGTTAAGTGTTTCTTGACGAGAGAGATTCAGGGCATCACCGATTCCTGCATATAGTAGCTACATTTAACTTTTATATACTTCCTCCGTTCTTTAAGGCTATTCAGAAGACTTTAACCAGATTCTAAAACCGTATACATTAGATAGTTATAAAAGTAATTTTATAATAGAAGTTATAAATTTTATACTTTTATGGAAAGTACTTTGAACAAATAACATTTTCATATAATTTTTATATTATAAATAATTTTCAATAAAAAGATATAGTTGGTCAAAGTTTTGAATATAATCAAAAGGTAGGAATGTGTGAGCTTGCCGTTCTCAGTGATATAAATAATTGGATCATTGTAGGTATCTTTGGTATACTTCAGTATTTCCAGGATTCCTTGTGGATACACATACAACCAGAGTGGAGTACCCTGCAAATGCATTCATTCAAATAATATATCCACAAAATTAGTAATAAAGGGTTTTGTAATTAATATATGATTATGCGTTATTATACTATATCCTTTGTAATTATCAACGAATATTTGTAGAAGTTTAATATACAGTGCATTGATTTAAAAAATGTTGTATATTTAAGACCAACCTGTTCACCTATGGGCTCCCCATCCGTATTGCGTGCTGCAAACAAGAATAAACATATTATTATACGTAGTATTAACTAAAAGTTATATTGCCATGTTCTCTATCTCCCGTTCAATAAGAAGACTATATTTAATTTAATCTAAGTTTACTATTTTTATTAAACAAATGTTTAATATGGAATATACACTGCTTAATGATATATCACAGAACATATATACCCCCCATTCCCTGTATCATTTAAAAATGGGAAAGGTGCAAATAAGCCCTCGAACTAACAAAAAAGTGCAAATCACCCCTTTTATAGGAGGCTCTGCCCGACCATCGCCATTTTGGGCAGTTCCCGGTGACATTTTTTGATGAATTTTTTTGAGCATCTTCCTCGTTAAGTCTAGTTAACCATATCAAATTTTATCTAAAAATTTAACCGGGAAGGCAGTCAAATGATTTTATGAAATATACTACGCTGTTTAACTGCGCAATTATATATATTCAAACATTTATTTGTCTGCCTTCCCGATTGCTTTTTTAGTTGAAATTCAATAAGAATTCATTGTATTGAGCAAACTATATATCAATACTATAAAATAACAAATGTATATTGTTCTAGACATAACATAATTACTGTAAATTCATAATAATTATTCATAAATTCTTAATCTATATGCTATTCTTTATTCATAAAATTTTATACTATATGCTATTGTTTAACTAATAATGATCAAAAGTTAAATATAGGATATATCAATTTAGTTAATCAAGTCAAAATGACAAAATCACTGGATATCGAAATATCGTAAGCCAATTAAAATATTAATAACCAGGGATAGAAAATCCAGGATGACAATACATAATATTTTTTGTGGAAATCACATACGTAGTATTTGATTTTCTAAAGAGTAATTTAAAAACTGAGCTGAGGATAACAATAAATTAAAGCAGATGCGATAGGTAGGATACTTACATGTTAAAACAGCACGCGTATCAGTTGTTGCCCTAATACAGGCTGGATTTGAGTCAGGGGTGAAATTGGAAGAAACATATGTGGAAGTGTATGAGTTTATGCCGATAAAATCGTAGGACCTTTTCACCATCTGGATTTCCTCCCACGAAAATTGGGGCAACCTTGCTCCAACTAAAGTCCTCATCGATTCTGGATAGTGACCAAAGTTTATGGGTTCCATAAACCTATTTCAATCACAATTAATTAGTCAATTAAGAGCTTAACATAATATAATAATAATGAATGAGTTACGTTACTTGTTTTGTGTACAGAAAGGTGTATACATTTTATACACTTACCTGTGTCCAGAAATGAGTTACACAAATGAGTTACAGACGATTGATGTTTTCTTATAAAT